TTTTTTTGCGAAATTAAAAGACTTTTACTAAAACCAAAGAATTCTAGATTTCCTCTAGAGTTATTACGAGGCTACAATTGAAGTCAATCGGTTAAGAATTCAGGTATGTTGATAGATACCTTCAAGCGGCTACCATAAAAACAAGTTTTTTTTTGTTTTCATAAAGTCGCTGCCCTGTCCTTTAATTCGCGGACAGTTTCAAAACATGTATACATGTATATTGATTGGTGGGGAGCGGGAGGATGGGATGCCCAATGGGTGAACATAGATGTGCCGAAACCCTCACCTTTTCGTGGTGCTCCCTGTAAACATTGACTGTTGCTTTTAAGGCTCCCGCTGTTGAGAGCAGCACAGTCAAAGAAGGGCAAAGAAGGATTTAAGGCTTGCTATCTATAATCCGGCGACATGTTTTTCTCATGAAAGCCTAAAAAGTGCATTTCCTTTCTAATGAAAGGGGAATATTTTTCTTCTCCCTTTTGCTTCTCTTATACGGAGGTCATCTAACCGCATGATGGGCAGCGGTATTTAAGAAGGCTGGGGCATTATTTCCGCCATCGTGCACTTTGCATATTTTTTCAGCTGTCAGCTTAGCGCTATTGCCTTGTTTAAATTCCCAAAACATTACATGCGGAATATGCACTTTTTGACTCTCTGTTTCAGAGGTTAAGAACAACAGTTGAAAATAATATGCACCACATAACACAGTTGACAGAAGGCTAACGGAAACCTCAACTATATAGCGCAAATAAAAACTCATTTGTTTCGGTGGATACATACGAAGAATAAATTCTACCTAACTGCATCGGAAGTTACTTATAACTCGGCCTAATATATTCTGCAATAATAATAATAATGTATTCCGCTGTGCTTTCCAAAATTCCAACAAACTTACCCTCCTCCTCCTCATCCTCATCTATATAGTGAGACCAAAAACTCCTTTTTTTCGATGGCTTATATTGGGCAAGTACGAACAATGGATTCTACCTACTTGCATCGGAAGTTACTTATAACTAGACTTAATATATACGAACTCGTTACCTTTACTTTTGCATCTTCTCCAATTCTTGCGAAAGCAAAGACGACATTAATGTAGTGGTTGGTAGGTGGTAATAGACAACAAGCGTTTAATCCCCATTTATACGATTGGCCATTTTTAGTCATTAAAGAATTGCACGAACTTTATGGGAATTTAGAAAAATATGTGAAAATGTGTTTACTTTTTTGCCTTCTTCAAGCGAACCCACGTAAAAGAATCTCAACTACAAATATCAACTAAGGCAAACACAGCAACCGACCTCTCTTTTATTGTCGTTTATTAATTCCTTTTATAAGTGGGTTTATAGGTTATACTTATTTTCAACTGCTAAGCTTTGGAATTTTATATCAATCATTTAAAATCCATTTAATCTCAGAGAGGGAGACTTTAGACGTATTGATGCCAAAGTATATTTGCTATATGGCATCGCTAATATTTATGTGTGCTATGTCTTCTCGGACCAAGTCTAAGCTGAAAAATATTATGCAGCTCATGATAAATGGGAGATTACAACCTTCAAAGAAAGCATTTGGCACAATGCTTTCCAAACAAATTCTGTGCAAAGTGACCGGTTTAAAAGATTACTCCCGCCTCTAGAGCACGACAGAAAGGTAAAATTTCGGTCCGCAGATCCTTGATGTTTTCTTAATTAATTAATTTAATGTTACTTACCGGTTTTGCCGTTCGGACTGAACGGATCATAACTGCCGGCAGACATTGGTGACGAATAACCATTTGACATATTTGCTCCGTACATTTGATTTTGTGATCCCGGCGATGGACTTAAGGGGGGTCCGGTGCAGGGTACACTACCGGGACTAGATGTAGATATCCATTCTTCGTTTCTGCAAAGCAATGTTGAAAAAAAATAAGATAAGCAAGAAAATTTCGTAATTATTTCGATTTACACTACTTACACCTCCAAACGATTACGTTTCGTGGGCACAAATGTCAAGCCTGCTGCATTTCCACCGTTATTACCGACTCCACTATTTACAACAGTTAACTGTGAAGCTGACGAACTTTTACTTAAAGTTCCTATTATGTTAACTGGATTTGTTTGCGATTTTGAATTACTATTCGTGCTGGTTAAAGCCATGGATATTGTATTGGGTGAGTTAGTCTCCGTAATATTAATGCCAACTCCGCCAACGTCCTCTTCGTTATTATTGCTACTGTTTGCAGGGTTATTGATGGCATTCGTGCTCGACATATTGCAAGAAACATTGTTCCGGTTATTAACTACCGATGTCAAGGTTATAACATCACTTGACGGTTCCGATTTGATTGGTGCGGTAGCGATAAACTGCAATTTCTTCGATGCCAATACTGTATCGGTCCGGCAGGTGCTTATCGCTGTTGTCCCGACAACAACATCGGAAGAACTATTATCGATTAGTTGCTGTGCCTGCTGCTGCTGTTGTTGTTGTATATGAATAAGGGTGGATTGACAACGTGTCTGATTGGAGGGCAAATTACCACTGCATTCCGCACTATCGCTTGTGGCCTGTGGACCGACCAAAAATACATTCTCGACTTCGGTATTGCCGGTGTCTGTATTGACGCTGCTGCCATTCAATTGCTGCTGTAAGAATATATGACTGGGTATAACGGTGGAAGTTGTGGTAGGATATTGTTCTGCCAGTAAATGTTGGGATTGTTCCGATTGCTGCGTTTTATGTTGTAAATGACTTTGCTTTGTCTGTTGCACATTTAAGCGGTACATAATCAATTATATATTTTGATAGATAAATGTTGCAACTTCTATTGATATTGACACTGTATGACAACAGTGAAAGACGAGGTTGTCCTCCTCCTCCTACATATTAATACATTTTACGTTCGCATCTTCACTTAATAAATTAATCATCATCGTGGTAGAAGCATCTGAAAAACAAAAAAATTTAAAAAAATTAGAAAATTACCATTACTGGGTATAAAAGAACAAGAATAGAAGTAACTTAGTGGCGAAAGCTTCACATTATACCTTTGATAATTCATTGCCCTATTCGTGATTGAAAATTCTTTTCTTTTTTTTTTTTTGTATTATTTTCTTAAGCGACCTTGGGAGCACATGCGAAAGGTGTTGCTTAAATATCTTAGGTCATAATGGAGCTAACGAGAACATTTGGATAAATGCTTTTTAGCACTAACATAATATTCACGATCTCTTCCAATTAATATTTTGCTGGATTATACCAACTCTTTGCCGAACAAAATGAATAGGCATTAGGAAGATATGATTAATGATTCGATAAGACTATCAAGTCATTTTTATTAACGATCACACTTCTTGCATGTCTTATTCTCGTCATTGCATTTCGTAATATTTTATCGAACGCTTTGAAAATAGGGTTAGTCGTTATCTCTATCAAACTTCTCAAGTTCGAGGATATTAGATGCTTGCAAAAATTTTGATCAGCGACTTCTACAGGTGGAAACAATGAAGAAATGGGAAATACTAGTGTACTTAACGGTTAAATTCGATGGTTTTGGCCTTCATCTACATAAAATAAAAATGCTTTACTTTTATTGTTTATTTGAAGAAATCTGCTGCCGAAGCCCACCAAACCCGCTCCGAGACTTATGGTAATACTGGTCTATCATATCCCAAATGCCAGTTTTGGATTATATAAGTTTAAAAATGGCAACAAGGCCATTTTTTGGCCACTTGTTGCTAGACTTGCCCAGGATACACCGCTGCAGCCCGAATGGGAAGTTCTAGCGTACACCTAGCGTACTCACCAGATATGGTTCCTTCTGACTACCATTTGCTCACATCGGCGCAGCATGGCTTGGCTGGCACGCGGGTCCGCAAAGTTGAAGAAGTGCGGAAATAGGTCGGTGGGTGGAACCAATAGTTCAAAAGTTCTTTCGACATGACAACGCCATGTTGTAAAACGTTGTAAAAAATGATGGAAACCAATTGGACTAATGTTGTATTGCATCAATTTTCCACAAGGAAAAAAATTTTTGAAGTGAAAAAGTGATCGGAATTTTTGCAAACACCTCCATACTAGCAACAATCCAATGTTTACAATCTCTTTCGATTAATATTTCTCTAGGTTAGGAGTCTTTTTACCATGCCAAAATTACTAGATATGCTCGGTCTCTGAATTTCCTAGATATGATAATACGATGAGAATTTATATGATGCCAGTGTTCCCGATTGCTTTTATTTGATTCACATTTTCGCTTTATTTTTGTGCTTTAATGTTACCTACAATAACGCAACAATTCAATAGAACAGTGGCTATAAAACTGTGAACACAATGTCTATGCTTCAAGGAGAGGTAATGATAACACGTCTGTGAAGGCTGTTTAACTAAACTGGCTTTCACAAAATTTTTCTTCGACTTACATTTAATTGTGTTTATTGCAATTCTCAGCAGCAATATTACTTCAGATCATTTTTCATCATTTCATTGCGAGGTGTAGCGTAGTGTCTGTGTATGTCACTGCGATAATATAATTATAGAGCAAGCAAGCAATGACAATATTTTAACAATTGCTTTGTAATTCTGAGACAAACTTAACTACTGAGCGAGCAGTCATTCATTGCATTGCATTTCCAGACGTTAATTCTCCTTGATGCTGCTGCTTCAAGTTATTTTTCGCATATTTCCGCATCATTTTGTGAAGTGCTTGCTGCGGAATAGAAGAAGAAGAAGAAGAAGAAATGAAGATGAAAGAAAATTTGCCGGCTTTCGTGCAGGCAGACAAAAGTTTAGTACACTTGTCACTTTTGGTTTAATTTCTTTTTAGTTGATGCTCGACAAAGGGTCGGTTGGTCCTTAAAGAAATTCTTCTTTCTTTTAATTCAAAATGTCAATGCTTTTCATCAAATTATTTTCAAATACTATCATCACACACTTTGCATTTGTTAAGTAAATATCCGCCAGGCAAGATATGTAATAACAAAGTGCATTCCTCCATTTAATCCTTGAGCTAAGCGATGACCTTTCAAACTTAGCTAGAATTGACCTTTTCCTTAAATAAAGCGCACTTTATGCCCTTATGCATGCACCCAGGTAGACTGGGAGCCGCTAACTTTGATTACGTATTCGAAATACACTGTGTATTTTTGTATTCGTTGTAATTGACAGAAAATATGCAACAAAAAATTATTAAATAATTATTATTGCATTATTCTGTATTTTGCGCAAACATTTATCGCATATCACAGACTTTTACTGAAGCTTATGAAAAAAAAAAAATAAAACAAATAAAAAAAAAGCCCATCATTTATGGGACATGCGCAGTTAAAATGAAGAGGTCATGGTAGATTCTAGTTTCCGTTCTTATGCATAAGTGGCATTCGTTGCCATTTGTACTGAGAGCGAAAGGTTTACTCTCCATTTCACGCAACAAAAATTTGCAAAACTATTTAGACATCTCAACTTTTAATACCTTGAGATTGCTTGGTATTAGTTGGTATTCAGAAAATTCGAAATCAGAAAAGTAATCTTCGCCCTTTAGGAAAATTCCGTTACCCAATCATATAAAACAAATATCTGAAAATTCAAATGTTATTCGCGAATTGATAGCACACGGCCGCGATGAACTTTTTCATAATAAGTTTTCAGATCATCCTTGGGAATACTCTTTCTCCATCCCATTAATAGAAAGAATAGAAAGAAAATATTTTTGTTGACTGTAGTCTTGTGCTGTATAATCATATTTGTATGGATGAGAATGAATTGTAAAAAAAAACCCTGCACTCTAATCAAAAACAGTATTTAAAAGCCATAGTACGAATCGTATCGTGCACCAATTTGTTGTAAATGAGAAAATAACAGGAAAGTCTTGCGAGTGTGTTATTCGCGAACCAGACACGGTATAACCCTATCTCTCAAAGTCAATTCCTTTGCTGAACGTATTAGTAAAAAGTGTTTGAGCTTATTTTTCGACAACAGTCCTGGAAAATATCTCTTAATGGAATGTCATCATTAATGAAGACATTTTTTACTTCTTCTTCTTCTTCTTCTTCTCAACCACTTAAATGTTAACAAGTAAGAAAATCATATTCCGTCTTGACCGAATCTCTTACACGCATCACCGTTTTCCTAAAAAAGGCAAAAAAAAGTGAAAGAACTAAATGTTCATGATTTACAATACGGCTTTGCTTTGAAACCAGAGGTGTTTTCAGTTTCTGTAGTGCTGTGGGCTTGTCTTTCTACCTATATGACCCATTTTCAAGGCCAACCTGCTTGTAAAAACTTTCAATGTTTCTCCCAAGTTTAACTTTCGCGGCCAGGAGGTTGTTTACAACAGACATTACAAAGACGGACAGACGGCCATGGTTAAATCGATTTAGAATTTGATGCTGATCAAGAATGTATATACTTTGTGGGGTCTCTGATGCCTCCTTCTGGGCTTTCAAACGTTTTGAGAAAATGAATATACCCGTACACCGTCTTCCTTCGGTGATGGGTATAAAAACAATGTCATAGATGAAAAACGTCTGGAGTTTTGGTTTTTAAATTTTATTGCCAGCAATTCACAAGCTGTGGAAAGTCTCTTTCCCCATCCGGGTATGTTCTGGCGCTTACTTAAGCGGTCACCAGCCGTGAAAATAAACTTTCCTGTAGAAAGTAAAATTAGTTTTGAACGCCTACGAAACGTTCAAAAAGTTAGCTATGGAAACACGGAGAGCATTACAATATTCGTTAAGCAAGAAATGCTAAAAAGTAGAAAGAAAGATTCCAGCGACAGTTTTAAGCACAGAAAGGGGGCAATACAGCCGACCCTGTATAATTGTTCCAAGTCCGTTAAGCTCTTTGTAAGGAAATCGCAATCGCAAAAGTTGCAAGGACCTAATTAAATGTTATTATGAGTAAAAGCAAGAGAGTTATCTTATTTAACAACATTTCATGAACGGGTGATATGTGTGAGTTTGTCCTTGTAGGGTTGAAGTCAAGAAGGGAAGGTATCTAAACGTATTCCTTTTTAAGATGCATACAGCGACGTGATATTCAGAAGCTTTGAATAAGTCCGAACCTTGTAGGGAAAAGAACCAAACGCGGTTTGTTGCTTAGGAAAGCGAAACTGCTGCTGAATCTTAACCGTTTGATTCCCAGACGGTATTGAAAAAACAGGGTCTGGATTTTCTCGATATAAAATGTGAACAGTGCGGTCGCGCTGCGATACATTCTTGGCAATTCTCTTAGGATATTCGCTACCAATGCATGGAATGAGAATGAAACTGAGTTGATTAAGCGGGAGGCATTACAGCGTGATTTCTCGGCAGGAAATGTTAGTATACCTGAAATAGGTTTTGGACTCAAAGGACCAGCCTGCAATGCGATGTTATCTCATTAGAGGGAATGGTAGAACTAACACTTTGAAGGAAATATTTCACTATCATTCTCTTCTGATGCAAATGCTTCTTTTCCCCATGACTTATTCGCATACCCGAAACCTATTAAATTTTTTTATTATCTAAATTTGTTTTATTTCTTACAAAGAAATGTTGTTTAGAATTTTTTTTAAGCATGATGAGTAAACAAACAAATCGCTCAATCTATTTAAATGCTTCAGATAAAGCAGCAGCAGATACAGCACTAGCATTGCATTCACCCTTTCTGTTTGTCTGCCTATTGCATATATAATACGCTTTTGCCTCTTGCTTTAATTTACTTTTTTGTGTTTGCATTTAGCGTTTGCCTAAACGTTTGCTAAAAGTTCTTTCTAGTCTGATTTCGATTTTTCCCAAATCAAATGTATGTCTTCTATGCAAGTGTGTGCATGCGTGCCAAAGACAGACAACAAGACAGACAGACAGGGAGAGAGAGAAAGAGAGAGAGTTGAAGCTCACAAAATTTCTCTAACAAAGCGAATTTTTACATGCAAAAGTAAACTGTAGAACAAAAGAAGAGAAAATATAAAAAGTTGAATGACATAAAACATTGACTGACCTTCAACTTTTAGAATAAACACACAGCCACATATACACACAAACATGCACATATGAAATGCACGCTTTATTGAATTGATATAAAGATTGCTAACTATTTTCGTTGCAAAGCAAATGAAACATGTGCCCACCGTAAAAACGAGCACACATACGCTGTTTTCTTTTTCGTTTTCTTTTTTTTTATTTTTATTTATTTTTCTACAATAAATGGATTTGTTGCACTCGAGATTTCCTCGAAAGATAGATTCACGTGTTATTCGTATCATGAAGGTTAGAAAAATTTTCATAAGCAAGCACTTCACACTTTATTAATATGAACGAGTAGGCAAACGGAGGAGGAAAGCTCCGGCCAATTTTGTTTGCAGCATGAAAAAAGCGGGGAATAAATCCTGAACACTCTGAAATTAAGTTGTGATGACTATATTAAAAAAACACCTTGAACTTGACGTTTCTCTCTTATCGAGACCGAGCGCATTAACTTTTTAATAATAAAACATAATTTTTCCATTATTTTTCAGAATATTAAAGGTGAGTAAACTATTTTAGTGTGGTCTGGCAAATAAAATTGCATTAATACTACACAAATTTACCGATGTTTTGCCTAAATATATATATATACCTATTTTAACGATAGGCGGTCATTTTGCAAGATGAAGGCAAGTAGCTGAACTTTGATACAATTATTCCTTGATCAATTAAGAATTCGGATCGTTAAAAATTGATTACGCTCTGACTATATGCACGGGCTCAATATTCGAAGAAACTGAAACAACCCTGGAGTCACGCTTATAACCTTCGATACCCTGGCACCGACTAGGCGAATGAAATTTCTACAAACAATATCCAACCGATAGATCTGATATGTCATCAATAGCTGCAAAGCGTTTCTTAAGAATTAAATTCTATTTATTAATTGCTTGCAAAAATTTTGATCACTTTTTCACTTGAAAAAGGCATTTATTGTGGAAAATTGCTGCAACATATATTAATCAAAATAGTTTCCATCATTTTCTTCGTTGGCAACATTCAGATATACTATGGAAAGAACTTATATTGGTTCGACCCACCGACACATTTTGGCACTTTTTCAACTTTGCGAACGCGCGTGCCAACCAAGCCAAGCTGCACCGATCTGAACAAATGGTAGTCAGGAGGAGCCTTGTCTGGTTAGTAGGCTGGGTGTGGCAGAACTTCCCGTTCGAACTGCAGCGGTGTATCCTAGACAACTCTTACAACAAGTGGCCGAAAAATGGCATTTTCATGTCGCCGTTTTTAAACCGTTGAACCCAAAAGCGACAAATAGGATATGATGAAGCTGCATCGCTATAAGCCTCTGAATGTATTTGGCAAGCTTCGGCAGCAGTTTTTTTCAAGTAAACAACAAGAGTAATGAATTTGGAAGTATTTTAAGCGCTCCGTGATTAGCGTCTGTGTACGCTGAATACTTCAATAATATTAAATGAAAAAGTTATTTTATGTAGAGGAATGTCAAAACCATCGAATTCAACCGTTATGTACACTGATGTTCCACATTTTTTTGTCATTTTTACATATAGAAATCGGTGATCAAAACTTTTGCAAACATCTAACTCAAGCCATTTGATGTGTTCATATACTGAGAAGAACGTAACGATCGTAAATTGGTATTGGCTTACGCAAAATGGTTTTAATCAGTCGGGAATTTTGATTATAATTATTTATAATTTGCAAAATATTTTAAATTATTACCTTT